ATGTGCAATTGCAGGGCCCAGCAACCAACGCCTGGACGACAGGGTTACAGCACCCGTTTTTCTGCTACGGAAGGCAGCATTTCTTTCCCAGGTTCGCTGTACTGTGACGGTGTGTGGGCCTGTCCCCCATCCACCTGAGCCAGACACCCACCAGCACTCCCAGTGCGACTGAGAGAAGTCAGGAGAGAATGAATGGGCAGGGAAGGACCCCGGCCTCGCCCCATGTCCCCAGCCAGACAAAAGCCACCCAAGCTCCCCCGCAGCTCCACCCGAGCCCCGCCGGCTCACCCCGTGGCTCCCGCGGAGCAGAGGCACAGTGGACGCCGGGCCCCATGCCGCCATGCCCGGCGACGCAACCCGCAGCCCGCAGCCTGAGGTCACAGTGCAGCCGGAAAGACACCGGCACTCCGTCCGGAGCGGCCGACCTGGGAGAGCCCGCCCCCTGCCGCCCGGAGGCCGCGCCCGCCCTGCGGTCCCCACCCAGAACCAGCCGCACCTGCAGGCCCCGGGGCACCCTCCATCCCGCTAGACCGCCTTCCACTAGTGTCCCCGACCCAACCTCGGCAGCCAGATCCCAGGGTGCACGGGACAGTCCTCCCTCCTGACACCCTACCTCACTGTTCTAGGGAACTGGCTCCTTTCCAGAAAGGAGTTTCTGTGAAATTCTCAAGCAACGGGGGTCTTAGGTTTGCGTTTTAGAAAGAGCGCTCTGGCTCCTGTGAGGAAGAGGGGGCCTTGTAAAGGGATTGAAATTGGAGAGGACAGGCTGATGCAGAGGTCAGATTAGCGATGGACTAAACCAGGGGCAGGAGTGGGGATGAGGTATGGCGAGGGGATGGAGTGTGTTAGAAACGGGATAGAAGACAGAAATTTGTTTAGGATTTCCCCAAATTCCAGGAGAGACACCCTAGGATGGAATCTGTAATCTCAGGGCTGTTCTGTGCTCAAAGTTAGGCAGGACTAAGTAGGGCATCCCAGGCCAGTTTGGGCTAGAGAGACCTTGTCTCAAAACCAAATAGGATGGGATGTGGTGGCTCACACCAATTAATCCCAGCACTGGAGAAACAGGCAGGCAGATCTCTTGAGTTCAAGGTCATCCTCGTCTATGTATCGAGTGTGAGGCCTGCCAGGGCTACACAGCGAGACCCTGGCTCAAAACAAAACACCAGAATAGGTAGCACACACCATGAGGAATAAGTAATCACCAGCAAAACAACTGGTATACTGTCAGAGACTAAAAGCTGGTGCTCCATTAAACTGTTTCTCCACTGGTAATTGCAGCCTGAAGTCTGGTACAGCCTGCAGGACTTCATCCCAGCACTTGTGCCTAGGCAATCAGTACCTCCCTGTGGATTGGACCAGGATTTGTTCTTTAAAGTGATCTACTAAAAGTAGGCTCATTTATAGGCCAGGCATGATATTGCACCTTTAATCCCAGCACTATCGAGGGATAGGCAGGTGGATCTGTTACTTCAAGGCCTGCCTGGCCTACACAGCAAGTTCCAGGACAGTTAGGACTACGTAAACCCTCTCTCAAAACAAAACAAAAATTTTATTCCAATGTTGAGTGACTCCTGTGTTCTAGCCCTCATTTCTGGATTACTTGATACACAAATTTTTCTGCTTGATTCCTTACAATTTATGGTTAGTGTAATTAGGGATAATTTATTGACTTTCAAGTTTCTTCATTTATGCCAAGAACACAATTAAAACTAAAATGTTTTCTAGCTGTATAGTGGCTCCTTTTTGCTATTCAAACCACATGAGCAGGGACTGGCTAACTAGATGGTGATTGGTTTAAGACTGGCCAAATGATCTAAACCAGACCACTGAAATATGGTCCTTGGAATTGGCTGGAACTAAAGAAATTAGTTTTCCAATGTATTGCTACACTTGTACAAAGCCTGGCACCTCTGGCCTGTAGGCATCTCTCCCTCCCTCCCCTCCCCCTCCTCCCCCCATCTCTAACCTGTTGGAAGACAGTGCAGACAAGTTTGCCACTTGAAGCTAAGTGCCCTAGGTAAGGTCACATACTTACCTCTGTCATTTACATTGGCGCTTTTGCTTGTCAATCCTATCCCACAGATCACCCACATAACTGTGGCTGAGAACTGTTGGTATTCCACTGTGCACCCTTTACCTTCAGTTTCCAAGAGGCTATGCAAACTGTTTTAGAGAAAAATGTCCATTGTCTCAAATCCTTCATACTCCCAATCACACAAAGGAAATAGCCTTCACATGACTTCCTCTTACCTACCTATCCAGCTGGAATCCTAACTGCAGGACATGATACCAGAATTGTCCTGCACGGATTCTGCCAGGCATCTGGTCACACAATTTGTCTTTTCTAAGGCTCCCCTCCAACCAAGTCACATTAGTATCCTTACAACTTGAGCTTTCTTAAAATTTTTATATTTTGTCTGGATGTTTTGCCTGCATGTATGTCTGTCTGTACATGTGTATACAGTGTCCAAGGCCAGAAGAAAGTGTCAGATCCCCTGGAACTAGTTACAGATGGGTGTGGACCCCCACGTGGGTGCTGGGAATCAAGCCCTGGTCCTCTCCAAGAAAAGCCAGTGCTCTTAACCAGTGAGCCACCTTCCTAACCCCTTTATTTTTTAAATTGCCTTTGGGCCCAGGAAATGGCCGATCCTTTCTGATCTTGAGGTTCTTTCACCTTTGTTTACTTTGGGTCATTATCACTGTGTTTTGTTTATTGTTGAGACAGGGTCTCCTATAGCCCAAGCTGGCCTCAAATTCATTATGTAGCTGAAGCTGACCTTGGATTTCTGACCCTATTGTTCTGGGGTTAAAAGCTTAAGCCAGACCATGAGGACTCCTCAGTTAGGGTCTCTTGGGGTGCATATCCTGTTTTTACCTGAGATATCTTTAATAACAGTCATTTTATAGAGCTTCCTAGATCTTAAAAATTCAATCCTACAGCCAGCCTGGTCTACAAAGGGAGTTCCAGAACAGTCAGGAATACACAGAGAACCCTTTCTTGGGGAGTGTGTGTGTGTGTGGGGGGGGGATTCAATCCAAGCAGCTGTGCATCAGCTTCCTGACCTTGCCTGGACATTTGTGAAAAAGACTGAAAATTTCCTGTCTCCCCAGACTGCCCCAAGTACTAAACTTTCCCTCTGAGTAAATCCCTGCAATGTCCTCCCAGGCCCCTCGATGCCAAAACAGAGCTGTATGACCTGGGATCTGCCAACCAAGGGGCATCCAGGTTGCCTTTGACTGGACCAAGGTAAAGGATGCACGGCTTGCAGTTTCTGGCTATGTTTCAAAGTCTAACTCGGGCCTTCCTGACTCTTGTCTGGGTTATTTCTACTCTTCTAAAGTTTCAAATAGCTTCCAAAGACTCAACTATTAGATACTCTGACACACATTTTGGTGATCACTTAAATTTTTTTAAAGGTAATATATAATTTTAACTTTAAAGTTATCATTGAATTCATTTAATTGTGTGGGAGCATGTACATGCCACAGCGCACATGTGGAGATAAAAGAACAGATTTCTGGAGTTCTCTTCATCCACTATGAGGGTTCCAGAGATGAAACTCATGTTGTCAGGCTTGGCAGCAAACACCTTGACCTACTGGGCCATCTTGATGACCTTTGTGATCATTTTCAGGCCTATGGAAATGAAACAAAACCAAAAAACAAACAAACAAACAAACAAAAAACCACAAAAATGAGACAGGCACAGAGCGCTTAGGAAGCCATAGTACAGGACTTCAAGTCTGAAGCTAATTGCGGCTGTAAGACAAGACCATGCCAATACATGTACAATGCTGATTGAGTTTGCCTGTATCTTATACAAGGTGAGTATTAAGCACATTTGATCACTTAGCAAGTTTCCAACTCTACTCAAAAAGCCCAAAACCACAGTAGCGCTGCTCTTCAAAAAGACCTAAAATGCACCTGTAGTTTTTCTAAAACTAAGTGCAATGGCTATTCTTGGTTGTCTGCTTAATTACACGTGGAATTAACTAAACAGAATCAACCAAGTATACCTGTGAAGGATTTTTCTCAATTAAGTCATCTGGAAGACCTACTTTTAGTCCAGATCTTTTGAGGTGGGAAGATCAACCTTTAATCTGGGTCACACACACCTTCTGTTGGCAGTCTATATACAGGACACGGAAAAAGGAAGCTTGCTCTTTTTCTTTGCTGTCTTGCTCTTGATGCCAAGACCATTCCTTCACTGGCACTGGTGTATACTGAAGACCAGCTGAGACATCCAGCCTTATGGGCTGAAGAATTACTGAATTCTTAGGCCTTCCATTGTCAGACAGACATTGTTGGACTAGCTGGACCACAGCCTGTAAGCCATTTTAATAATCCCATATACATTCACTCTACCAATTCTGTTCCTCTAAAGCAGTTCTGTTCTTCCTAATGCTGCAGCCCTTTAATACAATTCTAGTGTTGTAGTGACCTTGTCTTTGTTGCTACTTAGTAACTGCAATTTTGCTGTTATTAAACATAATGTAAACATCTGTGTTTTTCAATGGGTTGTTGGGCCTCCAAAGAGGTTGTGACCCACATGTTGAAAACCCCTGTTCTGAAGTACCCTCCAGACTAATACATTGGGCTTGTTGGCAATTCTCCCACAACAAGTGGCTGTTTGGACTGGGAAGGGTTTTCAGGATACAGGAGTATTTGACTTCAAGATAAGTAAATTAGCGAACCCAGCAGCCTCCATCCCATTTCCCAGGAATGTACGTAAGATCTGGAGTCCCATGAGCATCCCAGGAAGGAGACTGCTCATTTCTGTCTGGGGTGGATCTGCAATAGTCAGAGGGGTTTGTTCTTTGGAATAAGGCTCTGGTATTTATTGGTTTCATTTAGGAACTTCTTCCTAAGCTTTAAGAAAACAGATACTAAATGGTATGCAAAGACAACCCTCCAAATTTAAACTGTAATCAAAATCCACAGAACCTGCAAAGATCTCATTTCCACATTTAAATGAAAGCATGCTAATACACTTCAAAGCCATTTTTGCTTTCAATATAGTTTATTCTGATGAAGTTACAAAAGTAGATACAAAATACTTTTTTAAAAAGTACAGTTAACGACTTAGAAAAATAGAATAAAGCCCTAAAGTTTTAAAAATACAACATAAATTTCTTTCCATGAGGAATATTTTAAGTTATTTTAGATGGTAACCAAGACTAACTTATGCAAATGATTTTTGATGCAGACCAACACAGGATGCTGTTCTATAACCAGCCCATAGCACACTAGCCATCCGTTTGGCTTTACTTGTCTGATACACTCTGATGAGAAAACTGTGAGAATTCCAATGCAGCTGCTTCAATAAAATCACTGATGCTACCCACATGTGCTCCAAAGTCCCTCAGAGCCCAGCATCAAAGTTTAATATAAAAACAGGAAGACCAAAAGACTCCTCTCCTTCTTTGACAGAACGTTCACTGACCCCAGGAGGAAAGAACATGACTGTGGAAAGTACTCAGCAGCTCATATCTAGGCTGGCACTGTTCAGGCCAGGCCTCCATACTGATGGGATAGCTCCCAGAGAGAAGAGGAGCCCTGGCACCATGACTGGAAACACACTTGGAGGACCCATGATCTTCGAGCCTGATTTGTTTATACTTCTGAGGTAATGACGTCATTCTGAGAAGCTCTACTACTATATGGTCTTAGGGCTTAGCGAGAAGCCAAGAATACAAACAGGAAACCTCACCACCAGGACTGTGCCTGTACCTTTGCTTCAAGTCATGAAGAACAGACCTGCAGTTCTCCAGTGAGTAGTCGTGTGAACTAGAGCTCTGCACACCAGGGTAAAAGAACCCTTTGGCCAACTGGTTGCTGGTAAGTCAGAACAATAGCATAGTGGCTGTTAACATAAAAACTGGATCACAATGAAGTATGACTGTTTTTTTAAATCTATCATTGTCCAAGTTTTTTAAAGTCCTGGAAGTTAAAGCACCACAGGGCTAAAGTGGAATTCACCAGGCACCTGGAAGCCACTGCAACAAATCAGACAGGATAGCTGATTCCTACCAGGGGGGTGGGGGATGGCAGGGAATAGGCAGATAAACCCAGGACAGACATTACTTCTGATGTTATGTAGTGCCCTCTAGCCATGCTCTGCCTCAGAGGTGAGCAAACAGCACAGTGTGTGTACTCTGCTGGTTAAAGCCGGTCAATTTGGGAGTCTGGCACTGTTTTCATTTTAAAAGAAGGAAAAATAGGAGGATGGGACACGCACACGCACACGCACTCAAGTTTCAAAATACAAACAAGGTTGTTTTTTGTTTTTTTTTTTATGTCCCATTAGAGCTGCCTCCGTATCTTAGCATCTACCCATATGGAGCTCAGTCAGAGAGAGGGCATTTTTGTCAGTGAAATACATGCAAAGGAAAGAGAAATATTTGATTTGAGAGTGTGAGATATCATAAAAATGATTGAGCCCTGGTTGAGAAAGAATTTCACTTATGCAAATCAAAGCAAATCAAACAAGAGTATGTGGTTGAGGGGTGATGATTTCTTGGTGGCATCTAGAAGCCCGCTTCCTATCTGCAGATGACTGTCATACACTTGCACAACAGCTGACATCTGGACCTTTGCATACACCTGGGTTAAAATGTGTTTCCAAGCTGTCCTTTTTTCTCTAAGCCATTAGCCCACCTTGAATTCCTCTAACAGTGATGTGTAGTTTCAGCAAAAGAAAGACAAAACAGTTCTAAGTATATTTAAAAACATACTAAAAATGAGTTATTAAAACTGGAGTTTCTAAGGAATTCTTTCTTCTATAGTTTAGTGGAATCAAAAATACAACAACCTCATCAGCTCTAACCTTTATAAAGCCACATAGGCAGCCAGTGAGCACTGTGCAAGTCCCAGCTCTGATGCACAGAATGCTGATAAACTACAGTACTGCCCATCAGGCAAGTATCCAGGATACTTAGGATGCCATGTACACCTGAGGAGGCAGCCAGAACTGACTAGATCTGAGGATCAAATGAAAAGCAGGCACCTTCCTCAATAAAGGAGTCTCTTAATCCTGATAGCATGAGGAAATCTTCAAGTTTTGATACAAAGACAAAGCAGAAGAGAGCCCCTGAAGATCAATGCAGCTTCTGTGTAGTAACAGGATGAAGCAAGGTGGCTGTTAACTCACTCCCCTTGCTGGATCTCCAGCTCTCCCTCTAAAAGGCCGCAGGGAGACCTTGGGCAGTTACACACACCCTCAAGCTCCTTTTTTTCTTATTGCCATAAAGTCTGCATTTCTACACATAAACATTAGGTTTCAAGTTGCAATAAAAACATGGAATCATATAGGAAATAATCAAGTATTCTAAATACTCTTTTCTACTGTCCCCTCCAGAACTGCAAGGCCTCAGGAATCATAATGGAAACAGTGGCTTGGAGGCCTGAGTCTGTCACAGTTTTTTGGAGTTCTTGATCTCTGCCAAAATCTAAGTGAAGAATTTCAAAAGGAGAACCTGCAAGTCTGCCATCAGAAGACACAAAGACTTCTACTACTGTATCCATCCATCTTCATCTAGACAGACAAGACACAATCCCAAAAAAGTTTTAAAAAGTCACTTAAAATAACTTTGGTTAACCTCATGCCATATATGCCTGTGATTTAAGCCTTGTGGATTTTGCAAAACAAACTTTTTCAGCAACAAGTTCACCATGTAGCCCAGGCTAGCTTCCAATGTGCTATCTTTCTGCCTCCGTCTCCACAGTGTCAGGTAACAGATATAAACCATCACGCTTGGCTAAAAAATATATATACTCTTATCTATAAACACCAGCACGTAGACAGACTGGAGCCTAAAAGGCTATTTAAGGTGAACCAGAAGCTCTAAATGCTGGGATTAGAAATGGAACAACATTTCAATTTGTAAAATGAAGCAAAACTGATCTGTGTTAAGAAATTTGTTCTAGAAACTAGTAAGTTGCAGCTGAAAATTCTTTATGTCCATTATGCTGTCACATGGAAAAACTCAATCACTTTCTTGAGCAAAAGATCAGCAACAAACTACAGGTTAGTCATAAGGTTGCAACAAAGGACAGTGACAGGACAGGGGTGGCCACACAGCACCTCTGACTTGGCTGTGCTATATAGGTCTTGTTCTGAAGCTTTCCGGCCAACCTACCTTTGGGACAATTTTCTCTGCAGACAACAAAATGGGTCTTTTGATCCTGTTTTCTTATAGTCAGTATCACTAGTCCATACCAGACAGCAATGAGAGAGTGCTAGCAGTAGATAGAGCTGAGAGGGTAACTGTGTTCTAGAAGAAACATTTATCTGTCTTTAGATCCAAGCTTCTCAATTAATTCCTGAAGTGGTGCCAATTCACGCCTATCAATCAGATTAAACTCCTGGAAAGAGAAGAAAAGTGAAACGGAATAATGAACCAAAACTGAACTGTACCTGTGAGCGTTAAACATCAAAATGGAATGCATGAGTTTATATACAGTGACCTAAAAATTACACCTGAACCTCTGGTAATAGCCACCTCTAGAGAAGTCAACTTACACATGCACACACAAGGTACAAAAACAGTAAGTGGGGGCTGGAGAGATGACTCGGTGGTTAAAAGCACTGCCTGCTCTTCCAAAGGTCCTGAGTTCAATTCCCAGCAACCACACAGTGGCTCACAAACATCTGTAGTGAAATCTGGTGCCCTCTTCTGGCCTGCAGACATACATGCAGGCAGAACACCATGGACATAATAAATAAAACTATACACAGAACCATAATATACAATAACCACTAGAAAGCTATCAGGTTTCTCTATTGCAAAGTGGTATTTTTTTGGTTTGTTTTTTAATGTGTTCTGTCTGCATGTATGCCTGCAGGCCAGAAGAGGGCACAAGATGTCATTACAGATGGTTGAAAGCTACCATGTGTTTGCAGGGAATTGAACTAAGGACTTCTGGAAGAGCAGCCAGTGTTCTTAACTGCCGAGCCATCTCTCCAGCACCCATTTTCTGCTTTTTAAAAAAGTTTTTACTTTTGTGTGTGGAAGTGGGCATCAGAACCTCTGGAGCTATAGTACAGGTGGTTGTGAGCTCCACCATGCAGGTGCTGGAAAATGAACTTGGGTTCCCTGCAAGAGCAGGAAGTGCTCTTTACTGCTGAGCCATCTGTCTTTTCTAGCTTTTTGAAACAAGGTCTCACTCTGATAATTCTTTAGTATCTTTTTCAAATAATGTGAATTATTCTGGCCATTTGAAGCTCTAATTCTGAGTTAGTGCTCATAGACAAGAAGCCACAAACCTGGAAGACCAAGGCAGATGGACCCAAGTAAGATGTTGCCTTTTTTTCCTTTCTTTTTTAAAGCTCTAGTTACTTACTTTAGGCTTGTCTACGAGCCTTGTAAGTTTATGTGCACCACATATGTGTACAAGCCTGTGGATGTAAGATGGATGCTGGTTACAGGTAGTTGTGAACCTCCTGATATGGTTTCTGGGAGCTGAACCCAGGTCCTCTGCAATAACTGTATAAGCTCTTAACTGCTGAGCCATCTCTCCAGCCCAGAGACACAGCCCTTCTATACTGCTTCATGAACTGATGAAAAAGTACAGAGAAGAGAACAAAACTGGGGACAGAACAAACCTTGTACTTAGACGGTCTACATCTATGAATAAGACACAGTGTTCTTACTAAGTTATCAAGGCTCAAGTCCAAGGCCCGGAAATCAATACGGCTCACCTACCTGAACAAAGAAAATAAAGTGCTTAAAGGAGGTGTTGAGGTGGGCCTCCTCTTGCAGCTGCATCACGGAGTCAAAGTGCTGGTGGTAAATATGGGCGTAAACCCTGAAGAGACGCTTCAGAATAGTCTTTGCCACAGACATAAAGTTTTTGGGAAATGGGACACCTGTAATTGAATGTACACTTATCAGTCCAATGGGATAGCAGGGAGTCACTACTGCACATGAGCTCAAGCACTCCCAAGTCTACTTCAGAGTACCGTAAGCAAGGCAAACCCAACCTGAGTATTCCTCACACTCCACACTGATTGCCTACAACAGAAGACACAAGTATAGACTGCTGATCACAGTTCAAATTATTATGTTAGTTGTTTAATATCAGTTTCTCCCTAAGATGAAATGCAACAAGAAAAGCACTTTGATTATAAACATCACTTTTGTCATTTGTAATAGGAAAAAAAAATTAGGAATGGGAATTTTCCTAAACAAAATAAAAGGCAGATGGTCCTCAAGTCGGAAGACAGCAAGCATCTCATCTTCCATATTACTCTGGAAAGTTAGAAGCAGGTCTTCATTTTCCTAGAAGCCCAAAAAAGGGTGGTCCTTCCTGAAACAGAAGACAGGGACCTCATTCCTTCTCACAGAAAAGAAACACCTCTTGAGAGAAAAACTAGGAAAAAGCAGTAGCCATGGTTACACTCCTGACAAATTTGGCTGGCAGAAGCAAAGCCCTTCAGAAAAGGGACAGAGGATGCCTGCGGGCCGGCACTGGCTACATGAAGCACACTAAGAAGAACTGAGAAGGCACGTGCCAGCTGAACATTTGGTTCTTATCTCTAATTCAAGGCAAACAGGTGGATCTGTGAGAGGCCATGGACTCCACAGGAAGTTCCACACTTGACAGGAAGTCAGCTTCAAAAGCCAGTTCCTCAGAACCACTCTAAGCAAACACCTTTCAACCTTTCAGAAAACAGGCTTTTAGCAGCATTCCTCACATGCATCCTACTTTTTTTCTTAAGCCAGCCCTTAAAAGCTGGATATCTAAATAAATTTTGCTTACTTCTGTGATATTCCCAACTCCCATTCTTAGCTAAACTGAGTTTTCAAATATTACACTGGAGCTTATGAGCTATTTCTCTGGACAGAATCTTAATACAAAATTCTAAAACAGCAGGTTTTAAAATCAAACATCTTTTCTCTTAAAATTCCTATCTTGCTAATGACTTAGATATGCTACTTAAAAAAAAAAAGGAAGAAAAGAAAGGAAAAAGAAAAACACAGTTCTAACCAATAAAACAACTAGCAAAAATTACAACACTGATAATACCCTAATGGGGAGGAGGAGGCAGAGGGAGGAGTCTAGAATTATTACAGTAGAAAGAGAAGCTGAAGAAAAAGGATTCTGAGGTCATGATGGTGAGATTTTATAACCTCAGTTAATAGGAGGTAGCGACAGGACCCAGCATTCAAGGTCATCCTCGGCTACACACTGAATTCAAGGCCAAACTGAGCTAAATGAGATCTTGCCTCAAAAAAAAAAACCCAAAAATTAAATGAAGCTTACCTGAGTAAACATGTAAGTTGTTTTATTCTAAGTACTTTTTAAATTATTTATTATGTACACAGTATTCTGCTTACATGTATGTCTGCATGCCAGAAGAGGGTGCCAGATCTTATTGTAGATGGTTAGAAGCCACCATGTGGTTGCTGGGAATTGAACTCAGGACCTTTGGAAGAGCAAGCAGTGCTCTTAACCTCTGAGCCATCTCTCCAGCCCTCTAAGTACTTTCTAAACTGAATTTACTAGAACATATTCAAGTGGAGCCAATATAGAATAAAATATCAGTGAGGAAGGAAACACAAGGTTTAACAGAAGACTGTTAGTAATAAGCCAAGTCGAACAGCTTTTTTGCTTCTTTGAGACAAGGTCTCTGTAGCACAGGCTAGCCTTGAACTCCCAGCAATCTTCCTGTCTCAGCCTCTGGAGTATTGGGATTGCAGGAATGCCCCACCATTTTTCTCCAACAGCAGCCTAAGTATAAAGACTTGATCTTGGGCCAGCAGGTTGGCTGCATAGATAAAGGCATCCACTGCCAAGCCTGATGACCTGAGTTCAATCTTCAGGACTCACATGGTGGAAGCTGAGAACTGACTTCCCCAAGTTGTTCTCTGACCTGATTCAGACCCTTACACTGCCACACAAGTTCACACCCGGACCCAGACACACTGGGGTGTAGAGAATAGGCAAATAAATGTTTTTGTTTTTGTTTTTTTTAAATTGATCTAAATGTTTCTCCCAGAAGTGCCTTTGCTTATACTATGAAGAAGAGCACAGGTGGTAGTGGGGCACACATTTAATCCCAGCACTTGGGAGGCAAAGGCAGGCCAATCTCTGTAAGTCTGAGACTAGCCTGGTATACTGAGTGAGTTCCAGGACAGCCTCCAAAGCTACAGAGAAACACTGTCTCCAAAAAAAAAACAAAAAAACAAAAACAAAAATTCTGGTAAGAAGCTACTCAGAGCCCCAGGAACAGCAAGCCAGCTAACTTCATTCTTCGGTATGATACCAAAATCAAAATAGTAGCAAGCCAGAAATGTGCTCCTAGCAGAGTATTTTAGAAAGAAATGGAGACGTTGGGGTGTAACTCAGTGGTACAGCATGTGCCCAACCATGTGAGGGGCCCTGGGTCTGACCTCTAGCACCCAAAACAATAACAACTTAAAAGTTATCACAAATAATGAGAAAATATCTGATAAAAAAAAAAACAACAGGCTGGTGAGATGGCTTGACAAGCAGCTATACCCTCTTGGAGACCCAAATTCCAAATTCACACCTTTTATTTATTTATTTTGTTTAGGCAGGGTCTCCAACTTAGCCTTGGCTGATCTGGAACTCAGATCTGGAATGGAGATCTTCCTTTCACAGTATCTGGAATGTTGGGATTAAAGTGTAAACATGCCCAGCTAACATTTATTTTTACTTTGAGAAAATGTTTCTGTATTTTTATGAAGAACAAATAGAACAGACATGAAGAACACAGGGAGCTAGCCCTGTAAAGTGATCTGAAATTATATAATTTCCACAAGGTTTACAAGGCCCTGAAACATGGCAACCAGCTCTATACATGATTTAACTGAGGAAGGACAGACACTCAAATCAAACTGGAACAAACTAACCTCTTTTTGAAAAAAAATTTAAACAGCATTCAGAATAAAAACCCTGACAGCCTAAAGATTAAAAAAAAAAAAAAACTAAATAAAAAACATAAGCAATGTCATTATCTAGAAATAAAGAAAACCTTTATCACTGTCAAAATGCAATTTGGGGTGGTGAGCAGAGTACAGGGACAGAACATGTGCCTAGCACACAATCGTAGCACCACAAACAACTAAACCACCCATGTTTTAAGGAAAATGAGCAAAATAAAAGAAGTGTATATAGCAAAACACCCTATAAATAAGACCCAAAGTGCCCTAGGAGAAAAACATACAGCTTACATGACAAAGACCAACTACCGGTAACAAAGGACATAAACAGAACAGAAAATGTAAATACATTAATATTTGTGTGTACATGAGCACAAGTGTATACCTGCATGTGCTTTGAGGCGCACGTGGAATCAGAGGACAACTTCCACCACGCGGGTCTCAGGGATCCAGCTCCAGCCACCAGGCTGAGTAGTAAGTGCCTATACTTTCTGAGCCATCTTGGCCCCTTCATCAGTATTTTTAAATGGACATTAAAACAGAAGTTTAGGGCCAATGAGATGGCTCAGTGGGTCTGGTGCTTGCCATGAAAGCCTAACAATCTAATCTGAATCCTCAAAATCCACATAAAGGCTGAACACAGTGGTACACACCTTTAATCCCAGCACTCAGGAGGCAGAGGCAGGCAGATCTCTGAGTTCCAAGCCAACCTGGTCTACAGGGAAGAGTGCCAGGACAGCTCAGACTACATGGTGAGACCCTGTTTCAAAACAAACAAACAAACAAAAAAGCACATAAAGGTGTAAGGGCCAAATCCAAGAAGTTGTCTGACCTGCACATATATGCCATGGCACACACACCACATAAATAAAATAATAATTTTAAAATATATCCAATTTGGCCGGGTGTTGGTGGCGCATGCCTTTAATCCCAGCACTCAGGAGGCAGAGGCAGGTGGATCTCTGTGAGTTCAAGGCCAGCCTGGTCTCCAGAGCAAGTGCCAGGATAGGCTCCAAAGCTACACAGAAAAAACCCTATCTTGAAAATCAAAAAACAAAACAATATATATATATATATATATATATATATATATATATATATGATAATTTAACCTATTTCAGAATCAAATTGGAAAAGACTGGTATAAAGAAACATAAGTGGGCATGCTAGGGGAATATACATGGGTACAAGCTCTTTGGAAAGTGTGGCTTTCTCTGTTAAACTGACATAAAGTCATAGAGCATTTCAAGATTACAAACATCATTCAGAAAGAAAGGCAGTTCTATTTACCGATCTTTGAAGGGAAAAGGGTTTCGTCATCAAGCTGATCCTGAACCCAAGTCATCAAATAGTCGATATATTTTGGTGCAGAACACTTGATTGGCTTTTTAATATTAGTGCCATCTGCCCAATGGTATTCATACCTGAAGAGAATGACAATGTGTTATTGACAGCTGTTAAACCTTAACATGTACAACCTGTCATCCAAACAGGTTCACATTTTGTCCACAGAAATTCTATGAGACTTTTAAGAAATTATAGGAAACTTTCAGTCTAATTTTAACCCAGCATCTTTAAAACAGATTCTTACTTCTGGATGTGCAGCTACTTTCATTAATTCTATGTAGGTACCAGGAAGAATGAGCAAATATTAAAACACCACCTAAAAATTCTTGTAAGAATTTAAACTCTAATCAAATTAAAACAAAACAAAACAAACAAAAACACGGCCTTTTGGATGAATCTAAGTCACATTTCTTTTATTTATTTATTTATTTGTTTTTTTTCGAGACAGGGTTTCTGTGTGTAGCTTTTGGAGCCTATCCTGGCACTCACTCTGGTAACCAGGCTGGCCTTGAACTCACAGAAATCCACCTGCCTCTGCCTCCCGAGTGCTGGGATTAAAGGCGTACACGGCTTCACATTTCTTTTAAAATTACATTTATTTGAGTGGGCATGTACCCATAGTACATGTGAGAACAACTTGTAGGAGTCAGTTTTGGCAGCAAGTACCTTTACCCTCTTGAGTCATCTCACTGGCCCCTAACTCAAATCTCTATACATTTACTTCTACAATTGGACAATACAATTACAATATAAATATTAAACACTGAGTATTCATATACCAAAGTAGTCAACAATAAGTGCTATTGCTAGGTAGTGAAGAACTCACAAACTGAATTATCTCTACATGAAGAAGCAGTTTATTATTAGTTTATCAGTTATAAAAGAACATAATTCAAAAGCCTCTGTACCAGGCTACACGCATACCTGGGACCTGCAGACATGACTGGGCAGCTTGCCTCAGTGCAGAATTCTGTAATGGTTCCATACAACATGTTGATCTGATTGAAGAAATCCACAGCTGCAAAGACATGATTGTGTTAAGTATCTATATAAACCATGACAAACCAGATCTCTTAGCCAAAGGAAAATGGACAATATTTTCTTTCTTGAAATGGGGTTGCCCAATCTAGTCTGGAACTCCTGGGCTCATGTAATCCTCCTGCCTAAGCTTCCCAAGCAACTGGGACTTCTAGAGCACACTACCATGTCCAACTAACTTAGCAAAAAACTGGAGCTGATTTTAACTTAATGGTAACTAAAAAGTCACTAGAATATATTATTTGATTAGCTCCAAGGAACTGGAAGATTCACAGCTTACCAATCTAAACTACATACTAGTATTTGTTAGGAAAGAGAAAAAGGTGCTATAGAACAAACTTAGTGGGAAGTTACAGGCTGTATTGCACATTTCAAATATCTGCTTCAACATCAGCATTTGACCACTCAAAAAGGATTTAGAATCAAGTACCTAGTCTGGGTGTATGCTAACACAAGAGTTTAAAAGATGAACAATACAAGACAGAAGAAGATGGGACCTACAAGCCAACAGTAAGTGCTAGAAGTTCAGAGAAAAGGTAACACTGGGAAGGACTGCACAGTCAAGGAGGGCATTCCAAAGGAGCTCCCACTACATTTGGAGGACCAGGAGGAAGGAATGAGTGGTGAACTTGATAGGGTGTAAAGAGAATCATTAAGACTCAAGACAGTTTTTCAAAATGCCATGATCCTAAAGTACTTGAAAAACATGAACTAGGGTTTTCCTAGCTTCTTCAAAAAACGAATTAAGAAAAAAATTCTGTTTCACCAAAAACATCTCATAAAAACTCCCTAACTTATTATAAACTTTCCTCTTAGTTATATTTATTATTATTATTACTATTATTATTTTCAAGACAAAGCTTCTCTGTGTATATCTGGCTGTTCTGAAACTCACAAATCCACCTACCTCTGTCTCCCAAGGACTGGGATTAAAGGCATGTGTCACTGTGTCAGGAATCTTAGTTTTATTTTTAAAAAAGCAACATTAAGCCTAACTTCAATATTCTCACTAAAGAAAAGTAAGCCAGATGGTGATATTTCATGGGTATGTGTAAGCCCAGAAAGGTTTCGATTGCTTCTTTCACTCTTATCTTCAGGAGGGTGCAGTGGGGTTCTGCAGGCTCTCCACCATGTTGTAAGAGGGGGGATGAAGAAGCAAATGAGGACCTCGCTGACTCTCAAAGACATAAATGCCATATTTCTCACTGAAACTTATTTTAGAATTTTTTTTTTAAATAAAAGTATTTGTTGGGGCTGGAGAGATGGCTCAGAGGTTAAGAGCACCAACTGCTCTTCCAGAGGTCCTGAGTTCAATTCCCAGCAACCACATGGTGGCTCACAACCATGCGTTATGAGATCTGGTGCCCTCTTCTGGTGTGCAGATATACACGGAAGCAGAATGTTGTATACATAATAAATAAATAAAATCTTAAAAAAAAAAAAGTATTTGTTAACATGGGGTAGGGTTATTTTTAAAATGAATTTAAAGGTAAATATTTTGAGACAGGGTTTCTCTGTGTAGCTTTGAAGCCTATCCTGGCACTTGCTCTGGAGACCAGGATGGTCTTGAACTCACAGAGATCCTCTGCGCCACCAACACCCAACTAAAGGTAAATATTTTAATTTTTCTCAGTATGTTTCCCAAACAGTAACATTAGATACACTGTACATAATTAAAAGTTCTTTGACATGCTCAGTAATGGTTTTTTAAGACTTATTTTTACTAGGGCGGAGAGAGTTCAGGCACTGGAAACCAGAGATGTTGGATCCTCCAGGGGTTGGAGTTACAGAGGTACCTGATGTGGATGCTGGGAACTAAACTCTGGTCCTCTATAAGAGCAGTATTAGTTCTTAAACACTGAGTCATCTCTCCAGCCCTTCAGTCATTTTTAGGAGATAAAGGGACTCTGGGAAAAAAAGTTTTGTTTATTTTTTATTGCATTTTACATTTTATTTATTTATTGTGTGCATACACTTGAGCATGCATACATGCCCATAAGAAGCTCAGAAGACAATCCTCATCTTCCAAAACATGTGGGTTCCAGGGACTGAACTCAGGCTTGGCAACAGTATCTTTACTACCTAAACATCTCGATGGCCAAAAGATTGTATAGATAATTTTCAGCAATTAAGTTTCAAAGAAAAATCTAAAAGTGCAGGAGGCCACCACATGCCTTCAGAATAATGTAATTTGAGGTTTAATTTTAAAATATTTTAAATTATGTGCATTTGTGTCTGTGTGTGTGTGGGTATATACATTTGTGTCCAAGTACCTGAAGATGCCAGAAAAGATGGCTGCAAGAATAGCATGCACTCTTAACCACTGACACAGTTTTCCAGACCAAACTTGATAATTTGAAGAAAATTAAAAGCCAGGTGATGGGCCTTTAATCCCAGCACTTGGGAGGCAGAGGCAGGCAGATCTCTGAGAGTTTGAGGTTAGGCTGGTCTACAGAGTGAATTCCAGGACAGCCAAAGCTACACAGAGAAACTGTCTTGAAAAAAAAAAAATTTGCTGGGCGTTGGTGGCGCACGCCTTTAATCCCAGCACTCTGGAGGCAGAGGCAGGTGGATCTCTGTGAGTTCGAGGCCAGCCTGGTCTCCAGAGCGAGTGCCAGGATAGGCTCCAAAGCTACAGAGGAACCCTGTCTCGAAAAACAAAACAAAAATAAATAAATAAATAAATAAAAATAAAATTAAATTAAAAGCAGTTTCCCTAAATAAGTAGTACTTTACATTGCTCAAACAACATTCAAGCATCCTACTTTGCATGTACATTTTTAGTTGACCTTACTCATTTCTTCACAATATTCTCCCCAAGAAACAGCCTAAAGCACTTAGCACTTCTCTTCTCTTCTCTTCTACTAAAGCACTTAGTACCACACAAGCAAGTACTTTGACAAGTAAAGTCTAACTGTATTTGTATTCATGTTTTACCTATAAAAGAAAATTCATTAAACAAGATTTTAGCAAACTCTATAAATCAACAACTTAAACATTCTTAAAAACTTACTGTTAACAGCAATCCACTCATTGAGGTCCTCTCCCTCTGGTAACATGACAGCTTGCCTCAGATTGCCACTTCCCAGAGTGGCTTCTGCATGTTTTAAGAGTTCATACTGATGGGAGCCTTCAGGAATGTTCTTCTTTGGTTTGAATGTTTTCGAAGAGCGGCTGCTGCTGTTGGGTTAAAAGTAAAAATGTATGATTTTTTTAGGAATGAAAGCAGACTGGCATTTTTGGCATATAAATGGCTCTATTAGGGGATTGGAAGACAGCTAAGCAGTTAACAGCATGAATTACTTTTGCACATACACGCAAATAAATAAGTTGATCAATAAAAAATTGCTCCCTGAAGGGCTGGAGAGATGGTTCAGGGGTTAAGCACCCTAGCTCCTCTTTCAGAGGTCCTGAATTCAATTCCCAGTGACCACATGGTGACTCACAACCATCTGTATTGAGATCTGGTGCCGCCTTCTGGCATGCAAGCAGAACACTGTATAAATAATAAATAAATCTTAAAAAACAAACAAACAAACAAAAAAACCCATAAGTCCACATATTTAAACGCACTATTTGAAAGGATTAGAAGGTATGGCCTTGTTGAAGAAAGTGTATCATGAGGTAGGCTTTGGGATTTCAAAAGCCCAAGCCAGTCCCAGTCTCTCTCTCTCCCTGCTGCCTGCACTTCTTGTGTAGAACTTCCAGTTGCTTCTGTAGCATCATGTCCTCCGCCCGTGTGCTGTCCGCCATGCTCCCCACCACGGTGACAATGGACTAAACCTCTGAAACTGTTAAGCAAACCCCAATTAAATGTTTTCATTTATAACAGTTGCCATGGTCTTAATGTCTTTTCTCGGCAATAGAACACTGACTAAGATAAGGATATCTGGGGCTTGCTGGCTTCCAGCCTAGTGAAGAAAAAGAGTTCCAAGTTCAAAGAGAGACCTTGCCTTAAAGGAAGAGGCAAAGAGTGATAACAGGGCCCCTAATGCCCTCTTCTAGCCTCTGTGCATCAGGGACACACACACACACACTTGTGTGCATACTACACAGTCACACATGAACATATATGAAACAAACCAGTGAAAATTTTTAAAATCTTAGTGAAGGAGCAGCACCACAATTTGCTACATAGGGCAATCTGTTATAACCCATCTTCCAGAGCATTTTAAAAAGGAGGGCACACTCTAGATTACAGTGCTTGTAATGGCAGCATCTTTTAACAATGCAAGTCTACACCTTCCATTCACTTGTAGGCCTATCTCTTAGATTTGGACAGCACAAAATATCATGGGATGCTGTTTAATAATAAAGGAGGAACTGGTATATATGTTCACACAAAGATTTGAAACACAGCTGAACACATTACAGAACCAAATTAGAGCAGAGCCTATTTTGTCCATAGAAAGCACTAACAACAACAAAACAGAAAAAGCATCAAAAGAACACATACCAGAATTCATGATAACTTCTAAGACGGGAAAAGGAACAGACCTGTGGACTTATACCTCACCTGTGAAATGTGAATTTTAAGTAGTATAGGAAGAATTATGAAAGCACTACACTAAAAATCATACTTTATAAAGAACAAGACTCATTAGGGAAGTATTAAGTTAAAAAGACAGCCCAGGAACACATGGAGATAGGAAATAGAATGACAGGAAACTAATATGGAAAATCAACATTAAGTGATTTCTTAAGATTCAATATGATCTTCATATTATAAACTAAGATTAGTGTGCTGGGCCACAGTGGTCCATGTCTTTAATCCCAGCACTAGGGAGGCAGAAGCAGGCAGATCTCTCAGAGTTGGAGGCCAGGCTGGTCCACAAAGTGAGTTCCAGGTCAGCCAGAGCTGTTACAGAGAGAAACCTGTCTTGAAAAATCAGATTAGTACTACAAGGACTGGAGAGATGGCTCAGTGATTAAGAACACTACTGTTCTTACAGATGACTGGGGTGCAGTTCCCAGCACCCACATGGTGGCTCACAACCATCCACAACTTAAGTTCTAAGGGATCTTGTAGATGGTTTTTATTACTCTTTACTCTTTTAGGGGGCCACCACCCAGATCCCAAATAAATACACGGAGACTTATTCTTACTTATTAATGCCCAGCCTTGGCTTGGCTTATTTCTAGCTAGCTTTTCTTAAATTAGCCCCTCTACCTCTAGGCTTTTACCTTTTTCTATTTCTGTGTATCTTTTCTTTACTTCTTACTCCCTGTCTGGCTGTGTGGCTAGCTGAGAATCTCCTCCCTCAGTCTCCTCCCTCCTCTCTTGAACCTAGATTTCTCTTCCTATTTATGCTTTCTGCCTGGCAGCCCCACCTATCTTTTCTCCTGTCTGGCAACTGGCCTTTCAGCTCTTTAATGGACCAATTAGGTGTTTTAGACAGGAAAATTAAAACAGCTTCACAGAGTTAAACAAATGCAACATAAAAGGATTAACACATTTTTGCATCATCAAACAAATGTTCCACAGCAGAAACAAATGTAACACATCTTCAACTAATATTCCACAACAAAATCTGATGCCCTCTTCTGGCATTCATGGGTACTGGATGCAGATGATACACATACATGCAGACAAAACACATACAAAAAGTAAAAAAATTTAAACTAGGCATAATGGTATACATCTTTAATCCCAACACTCTAGAGGGAGAGGCAGGCAGATCTCTGGGTTTGAGGCCAGCCTGATCTACATAGTGAATTCTAGGACAGGCAGAGCTACCTACATAATGAGACCCTGTCCCAAAGAAACAAAAGTAACTAAATCTTTTAAAAAATATAGTATGCTTCAAATGATGGCATCAAGACAGTTAAATAATCCAGAGGAAGAAACCATTTTTAAGTCATAGATGTGATAAGACACTCAAATATATGAAGAATTTTTACAACTCAAACCAAAAAGACAGATGGACATAAACACTGTACCATATATACACATATGGAAATGTCACAGTAAACCCAACTAATCTGTACAGTTAACAGGTGTTAACAAAATAAAAACAATCTGATATTAAAATAGGAAAAGGATACCAAAAGACTTTATTTATCCTCAAATAGCATGAAAATACACGCACAACGATGCTCAATATTACTGGTCATTTGGGAGAATGTAAACCAAGAGATTCTACTTTATACTCAAGAATAACAAGACAATTGACAAGACAGGTGTGAAGTGGAGAAGTTTGAAAACTCATACAGTGAGGTAGGGAAGTAACATGCAGTGCGGGGCTTTAAAAAGCTTGACAGTGCCTCAAAAGACTAACATGTAACAATTCACTCTTCATACCCGGGAGATATCACACACACACACACACCCAAAAACCTGTAACCAGATGTTCACAGCAGCGTTATTCAGAATAGCCAAAAAGTGCAAAACACTAATATTTCAGTCAGCTTAAGCTATAGTCACATTTACCTCACCTAGGTGAAGAGCTACCGTCCACAAGAAGTCAGGTTTTTCTCACGGACAAGCTCAACTACGCTGCCCATGATTGAGTGGTCAGCTCTACACCCAAGTACATACAGGCAACACTAACTGGACTCTGTGTGTTTACACACATATTAAAAATACAGACGAGAACATGAATTTTAAAGGAAAATGAGAGGGCACTGGAGAGAAGGGTGGATATGATGGAAAAACAACCGCATCTATGAAGTTCTCATAAACTAAAAACCTTTAAAAAGACAAAAAAAAAAAAAAAGATTCACATTTGGGGCAGACGTTAAAGCGTCCACATTCAAAAAAAAAAAAAAATCCCAGCACCCCGGAGGCAGAGACAGGTGGAGCTCTGAATCCCAGGCCAGCCCTGACTCCAAACGACCCCCGTTTAGAGCAGGCCGGTCCTGGTGGCCTCGGAAGGCTGGGGCGGGAGGCGCCCGCCAGGTTCGAGGCTGCCTGGGACACAGGAGGGGGAGAAAAGCCACATGATAACGAGGAGCCGGCGGCCAGCTTCTCAAACGTAAACCAGTGGAAAACCATGGAGTATGTGCACCCGTCTAGTCCCAGGGGCACCGCGCGTTTTCCGGCGCGAACCTCTTCCGACGCC